CAGATCATTCAGCCCCACCCACTCTTCACAATCACCAGAGTTCTGATTTTCCTCACCTGTCTGCACTAATCAACCACAGTATAAAGCCACCTTCCTGTCACCACCTCAGTGTCTGGTCTTGTTGTTACTTCTTGCATCAACTTACCTGACTACTTACCTGATCTGCTCTATGATCCCTTCATCTTCAGTCACCGTCTTAGCATTCCGGATTCCCCACAAACCTGCAAATCAAGGACAGAGTTACTGCTCAGCTAAGTCTCAGAGTTACTGAACTATTATCACTTACTGTACCTGTAATCATCACTTTCTCCTCCAAAGCCTCTCAATAAAGCTCTGTGTTTTGGATATTTACCCATGTTGTCGCCTTCTGTGCGCTGACAGATGTAAGGTCATCAAGGCACGTGCAGAAGCTGGGGCTTTGGGGGCTCAAGCCCCTGCCCTTTTTCAAAATTATTCAAAAGTGCCTCTCTCAGACAAATATCAATGATATTGTGGTCAATAAAAAAAAAATGCATTTGAATTATAATTAACCTGACAATGTGTACAAAACCGTAAATAATCACTCAAAAGTCGGAAAAAATGACTGATATTCCACAGTCTGTTCGGAAGCCTAGGCTCTCGAGACATATAGGCTAGTTCTTTCAGTGAGTGGGTTGACGGAAGGAAAAAATAAACCAATCAATATTTTAAACTTTTTTTTTATCAATAATCAAAGCTAGTGTGTCGATTTAATTAAAAATCCATATATTATATATTTTAGAATATTACGTAATTCATCCTTTTTGTCATGTATAAAACACCAACCAATCATGATCTGGCACAAGTTCAAATTTCATTGGACAATAATGTGAAGTGGAGTGATAATTTTCTGTTCATATTCATAAATCGGCTGAAAATTACATGGGACAGACTAGCTTATTTGTGGAGCAATCTGGAAAAAAAAGGCCGGTGGAGTAAATGCTAATGTGCGACACCTGCGCAACTCACCGGTCTCGAGTCCCACTGAAGAGCTCCGGAAGGATAAAAGGAGGAGTGACGACAGTGTTGGATGAGAGAGGACCAGGCCTGGACTTTATTTTCTCTCGCCTCGTCTGTCTGTCCTTACCCCCAGGTACGCGCGGCCGCCGTGATCGGCTCCCCCGGAGGGAGGGGGGGTAAAGAGCAGTCTCGTGGGTACCCCCCGGCCTGCGAGGGGCAATGGGGGTATGTGACGAGAGGATGAGACCTGCACCACTCATCGGTCTCGAGTCCCACAGAGGAACTCCGGAAGGATAAAAGGAGGAGTGATGACAGTGTTGGACTCGAGACCGGTGAGTGGCGCAGGTGTTGCGCATTAGCATTTACTCCACCGGCCTCGCTCCGTTCCCACGGCTCTCGGCCACACCCCTCTTGTCACACATAGTTAATGAAGCCCAAATGCCACCTACAGGCCTGTTATGTGAAGTGTAGGCTGGCGAAATGGTGAAGTGAAAGGACTTTATTATGTTACCATCTTTTATAATTATGCTGCATTATGAAAGCGTCTTATGCTCATCAAGCCTGCATTTATCTAGGCTCTGGAGATGAGGATTCGGCTGCGCTGCCTCCGTCAGGTTGCCCGAAACAGACTTAGTGCCTCCTCTGTCCTCACCACTCTCGACGGTGGGGCGGCCCAAGGGTATGTGGACATCCCCCCAGTCGAGCGCGCTATTGCGATGCAGCTCTGCCCGCAAAGCGCCGCCGCCTGGAGAGGTAGTCCACGCATTCCGTCCAGGGCCTGTAAGTTCTCATCCACTCTGACGGCTAAGGCTTACAGTGCTGCTGGACAGGCTGCTTCCGCCCTGCACGCCATGGCCCTCCTGCGAGT